TTCATTTGGAAAGTATTCAGACCCCTTCCATTTTTCCACATTTTGTTACGTTACAGCCTTATTCTAAAATGGATTAAATAAAATAAAAAATATAATCAGTGGCTTGCGAAAGTATTCACCCCCTTTGGCTTTTTTCCTATTTTGTTGCCTTACAACCTGGAATTAAAATGGATTTGGGGGGGATTTGTAGCATTTGATTTACACTTTGAAGATGCAAAATATGTTTTATTGTGAAACAAACAAGAAATAAGACCAAAAAAAAGAAACTTGAGCGTGCATAACTATTCACCCCCCCAGAAGTCAATACTTTGTAGAGCCACCTTTTGCAGCAATTACAGCTGCAAGTCTCTTGGGGTGTGTCTCTATAAGCTTGGCACATCTAGCCACTGGGATTTTTGCCCATTCTTCAAGGCAAAACTCCTCCAGCTCCTTCAAGTTGGATGGGTTCCGCTGGGGTACAGCAATCTTTAAGTCATACCACAGATTCTCAAGTGGATTGAGCTCTGGGCTTTGACTAGGCCATTCCAAGACATTTAAATGTTTCCCCTTAAACCACTCGAGTGTTGCTTTAGCAGTATGCTTAGGGTAATTGTCCTGCTGGAAGGTGAACCTCCGTACCAGTCTCAAATCTCTGGAAGACTGAAACAGGTTTCCCTCAAAAATTTCCCTGTATTTAGCGCCATCCATCATTCCTTCAATTCTGACCAGTTTCCCAGTCCCTGCCGATGAAAAACATCCCCACAGCATGACGCTGCCACCACCATGCTTCACTGTGGGGATGGTGTTCTTGCGGTGATGAGAGGTGTTGGGTTTGCGCCAGACATAGCGTTTTCCTTGATGGCCAAAAAGCTCAATTTTAGTCTCATCTGACCAGAGTACCTTCTTCCATGTTTGGGGAGTCTCCCACATGCCTTTTGGCGAACACCAAACGTGTTTGCTTATTTTTTTCTTTAAGCGATGGCTTTTTTTCTGGCCATTCTTCCGTAAATCCCAGCTCTGTGGAGTGTACGGCTTAAAGTGGTCCTATGGACAGATACTCCAATCTCCGCTGTGGAGCTTTGCAGCTCCTTCAGGGTTATCTTTGGTCTCTTTGTTGCCTCTCTGATTAATGCCATCCTTGCCTGGTCCGTGAGTTTTGGTGGGCAGCCCTCTCTTGGCAGGTTTGTTGTGGTGCCATATTCTTTCAATTTTTTTATAATGGATTTAATTGTGGTCTGTGGGATGTTCAAAGTTTCAGATATTTTTTTATAACCCAACCCTGATCTGTACTTCTCCACAACTTTGTCTCTGACCTGTTTGGAGAGCTCCTTGGTCTTCATGGTGCCGCTTGCTTGGTGGTGCCCCTTGCTTAGTGGTGTTGCAGACTTTGGGGCCTTTCAGAACAGGTGTATATATACTGAGATCATGTGACATATCTTGTGACACTTAGACTGCACAAAGGTGGCCTTTATTTAACTAATTATGTGACTTCTGAAGGTAATTTGTTGCACCAGATCTTATTTAGGGGCTTCATAGCAAAGGGGGTGAATACATATGCACGCACCACTTTTCCATTATTTATTTCTTTGATTTAACAATAAACAAGTTATTTTTTTCATTTCACTTCACCAATTTTGACTATTTTGTGTATGTCCATTACATGGAATCCAAATAAAAATCAATTTAAATTACAGGCTGTAATGCAACAAAATAGGAAAAACGCCAAGGGGGATGAATACTTTTGCAAGGCACTGTACACACAATACCCCATAATGACAAGCGAAAACAGGTTTTTATTAATTTTTGCAAATGTAAAAATACCTTATTTACATAATCATTCAGACCCTTTGCTATGGGGTCTATATCAGTTGATTGGACATGATTTGGGATGGTCCCACAGTTGACAGTGCATGTCAGAGCAAAAACCAAGCCATGAGGTCGAAGGAATTGTCTGTTGATCTCCGAGACAGGGGAAGGGTACCAAAATATTTCTGCAGCATTGAAGATCCCCAAGAACACAGTGGCCTCCATCATTCTTAAATGGAAGAAGTTTGGAACCACCAAGACTCTTCCTAGAGCTGGCCGCCCGGCCAAACTGAGCAATCGGGGGAGAAGGGCCTTGGTCAGGGTGATGACCAAGAACCCGATGGTCACTCTGACAGAGCTCCATATGTCCTCTGTGGATATGGGAGAATCTTCCAGAAGGACAACCATCTCCGCAGCACTCCACCAATCAGGCCTTTTTGGTAGTGGCTAGACGGAAGCCACTCCTCAGTAAAACGCACATGACAGCCCGCTTGGAGTTTGCCAAAAGGCACCTAATGGACTCTTTGGTCTGAATGCCAAGCGTCACGTCTGGAAGAAACCAGGCACCATCCCTACGGTGAAGCATGGTGGTGGCAGCATCATGCTGTTGGGATGTTTTTCAGCATCAGGGACTGGGGGACTAGTCAGGATCGAGGGAAAGATGGACGGAGCAAAGTACAGAGAGATCCTTGATGAAAACCTGCTCCAGAGCGCTCAGGACCTCAGACTGGGGAGAATGTTAACCTTCCAACAGGACAACGACCCTAAGCACATAGCCAAGACAACGCAGGAGTGGCTTCGGGACAAGTCTCTGAATGTCCTTGAGTGGCCCAGCCAGAGCCTGGACTTGAACCTGATCGAACATCTCTGGCGAGTTCTGAAAATAGCTGTGCAGCGACGCTCCCCATCCAACCTGACAGAGCTTGAGAAGATCTGCAGAGAAGAATGGGAGGAACTCCCTAAGTACAGGTGTGCCAAGCTTGTAGCGTCATACCCAAGAAGACTCGAGGCTGTAATCGCTGCCAAAGGTGCTTCAACAAAGTACTGAGTAAAGGGTCTGAATACTTCTGTAAATGTGATATTTCAGTTTTGATTTTTAATACATTTGCAAAAAATGTCTACAAACCTGTTTTTGCTTTGTCATTATGGGGTATTGTGTGTAGATTAATGAGGGAAAAGAAAACAATTGAATCAATTTTAGAATAAGGCTGTAACGTAACACAATGTGGAAAAAGTCAAGGGGTCTGAATACATTCCGAACGCACTGTAAAAGAGGGTTTTATATCAAAAGGTTCTGTACATGGTTTCACAGCAGGAAACAGCCATGAAGATGAAACAGAGGGTTTTTGAGGGGCAGACACAGATGGCTTCAAGTGGGGATTGTTTGTTTGTGTTCCATCAAGGTCATTGCCAATGAGAGCGAAAGTGATACACGGCTGGAGGCTTCCTTTTTCCGGCTTGTTGAAAACATCTATAAAGGTAGAGACTGAGAAATATTGATGTTGGCAACACAATAACTCTACACTCGGAGGAAAAACAAGCAACTCCCAATCGCATTTCATTCTGTGATATTTATTTCCAAAAGGCACTCACTACATTTAATGTAATGGTGGCACAAGTAATACTGTGAACAACGGTCAAATACTGAGCAGGTGTTGCCCATGCTAGCTCAACATGGGCAGTTAAAAAACGCTATGCTAAGCATCATCTTCTGAAGCAAGTGGTGGTATACAATCAATACCATATAGCGTTAATATATTTGCAAAATAGCATGCTTTTGAGTTCCATGTCTTTTTTAATGCATATTGTATTTCTTTGTAGCTTTTTTATAACAAACATTGAGATTCCTTTGCTGCATTCACACCATGCTAATTCTGCACCCATATCAATGCAAACACAAGGAATGAAAAAACTGTGTACATACGTACAATTTTCGGTGTGTACATGCGTGTGTGAAGTGTGTGTGTGCCTGCGGGTGTGTCTGTGTGTGTTCGTTCGTGTGTGTCCGTGTGTGGGTGAGAAATTGAGGGAGATATAAATAGAGAGGTAATGCTATTTAACCCATGCGTCTTAAAGGGTTTGTAATGACATCATTATAATACTATTAGTAAACCACAATTGAAATGCACGTTGGATTCGTGCATGTTTTCAGTGTCCTTATCCCTCTGTCATAGAACACAAAAATGTTCTTTATAGAACACATAAATGTTCTTTATAGAACACATAAATGTTCTTTATAGAACACAGAAATGTTCTTTATAGAACAGAGAAATGTTCTTCACATACGTTACATGGTACACTTAAGTCATTGTATTTTTGTATCATACAAGTTACCGCCAAAAAACCTCTGTGTCCCAAATTCTCAAATTTGACAGAATCCTGTCTAAGCATGTGGGGACATTTTCCCCTTCCTTGCGTTATGGCTTATCTTCCGTTCCATTGTCAAAACTGTCATCTTCAGAAAGCCATTCTAAGTGCAGCCAAATCTCCTCTCTTACAAAGTGTGAATGCAGCATCCTTTAGACACATTTCAACGACAACATTAGGACCACAAGCCCTGAGATTCAAGTTTTAAAGAAAGTTCATGAAGTTGATAGCGTAGTCATACACTTAGACATTAAACAGCTTAGCTCAAGTAACATGCACACACCACAATGTGGCTGTTTATTCCTTTTTTTAATCAATTTTTCAAAGAGTTTATGTGTTGTGATGGATTGCGAAAAAATATTGTGATTCGTACATTTCACAATGACCGAATGTTCTTCTCTCAGCAGCTTAGTTCTCTGGTCCTAAAATGACCTCAGATAGTATTTAGTATTTAGGACTATCAAAGTCCACTATGTGCATAAAGGTCACAGACCCCCCCAAAGAGACGTCATAGCAGTCTGCTACTGTATCTTATTTGCTTTATCATTGACTCTTCTGATTAGCAGCCATCTTCTCTTCCCTCAAAATAAACATGACCATCATTTTTGTTGTTCTGTACCACAAGAACCCCGAATCTCAATATTTTACCACGTGATTGTAGAAACTGATGATGGCCATGTCTTTACTTCAGGTTATTATGGCACAGTGAATATTGAATAACATTACATAGCACACAGGGATACAACTGTTCCCCCAATATCAAGCACACAAAGGAGTGAGAGAGATGTAAGGCACATACGGTGGTGAGGTTTAAAACCTATTTTTCTCAGGAGGAACAGCCAACAGTCTTAAGGATCCATCTGGATATGCAGCTCTTTTTCTTCAAGGTCAAGTGTCTCCTCCTCAGTTTCTTTTTCTTTGGTCTGTAGTGGTATGAACGGTACTGTGAAACCATTCTGGGGCTTGCACACTTCGACGAACAGCGGCAGATCGGACAGGCTGGTGTTGAACTCTTTGTCTAACCCCTCATTTTCCTCCTCTTCCTCTTCCTCTTCCTCCTTCCTCTCCCCCATTTCCATGGGCGGAGTACTATAGGGCCTGCATCGTAGCTCATCTGGGATATTCTTCTTCAGCTCGCGGTTCTTGTTCCTCTTGGCCATCTTGGTGATGGAGCCCAGGCGATTAAAGATGTTGTCCTCCGAGGAGGCCACGTTGTTGGACCGGTGCGGATCACACTCGGCCCCTCTCAGACGCAGGTTGTTGAGCTTGGTATCGATGCTCTCCTGGGACGAGGTCTTGTAGGGGTTGGTGTCCAGGCTGTTGAAGGCGGCACGGCGTTCCGGGGAGAGCATGTCCATGGAGACGGCCCGCTGGTCCAGGCCCAGCTGACGGCGCTCCATGCTACGGATGGTGGCGGCCCGCTGGAGCTTGTCGCTGACCTCCACGCTCAGGCGCCGCCGCGTCTCCCGGAACTCTGCGCGTACGTTGGCCTTCCACTCAGCCGCGTGGGCCTTGATCTCTCCAACCTTGTGCGCGGGAAGATAAAACCAAGGTAATTTCACACCATAAAATACTATAACGCATGACAATCCAAATGAACTGACTTTTACCTTAAAGGAATAGTTTACAGAATTGGTGGAAGTAACTACCCACTTGGGCATATATGTCAGTTCAACGTCTCAACATTTGGTTGAGTTGTTAACTAACGTGAATTCAACGTGAAATCAACAAAACATTTCACCATGTCATTGGATTTAGGTTAAAAGTTGGGTAAAAAAAAAATACTTAAGCCAATGTAGTATTCAACTACACCATTCCAGTTCTATACCATAGTAGTATAGCGTAGTCATATAATACCACCCAGAAGTAAATCATCTTACCTCCTCTTTTGTCTTCTTGGACAGAACCCTCAGCCAGTCACCGATCATACTCAGTACAGCGGCGAAATAGGCCAAACCCACCAGGATCCAGAACCACACCAGTGGTCTATACCAATTACGATACTCCACCCTCCGGTCCCCTCCTGTAGGATGTAAACACACAATGAAACATTCTGCATGATGAGAGACCTGGGTCATGTTCAGGAGGGTGGAGTAGACCTGTTTCAGTTCATTTTCTTCCGTTTGGTGCCTAATGAACACTACCCTGATATTCAATGATTCTATTGGCACATTTTCTACCTAAATATCTTAAGCTGATTGGCTAGAAATTAGCAAAGTAAATTTTCTGAAGACAAGCGTTTGTGTGTCAAACAGCGATTGGGAAATCACTGCTCTTGATAGTATCACTGCTCTTGCTAGTATCACTGCTCTTGCTAGTATCACTGCTCTTGATAGTATCACTGCTCTTCCTAGTATCACTGCTCTTGCTAGTATCACTGCTCTTGCTAGTTTCACTGCTCTTGATAGTATCACTGCTCTTGATAGTATCACTGCTCTTCCTAGTATCACTGCTCTTGCTAGTATCACTGCTCTTGATAGTATCACTGCTCTTCCTAGTATCACTGCTCTTGCTAGTATCACTGCTCTTGCTAGTATCACTGCTCTTGATAGTATCACTGCTCTTCCTAGTTTCACTGCTCTTGCTAGTATCACTGCTCTTGCTAGTATCTGCTCTTTATTAAGCTTTATGTATCGGCGTCAAGACCTTCGTCAGAGCAAGAGCAGTGTGTTTCACTGCAGAAACATTCAGTACAGAAACATTCAGTACAGAAACATGCTAGTTCTCACCTGCCACATAGTCTCCTATTCCAATAGTTGTCAGAGTGATGACTACAAAGTAGATGGCCTCCAGTCCCGTCCAGCCTTCTATGTGTTTGAAGATGACCGCAGGAATGCTGACGAAGAGGATGCAGCCCGCCAGGATGAAGAGTAACGTGGAGGCCACTCGGATCTTTGTCTGGCTGATCTGATTGTGTTTGCGCTGGGGGAGGAGAAGAGCACACACACACAAACAGGCACGATGGAGGCCATTTTAACAGAGGGCACACAGTGTGTTGTTGTTCTGTGGTGGCGTCCCTACTGAGTTCGAGTGATGACATTCGTGACTCTGACAAGGTGGCATCTATTTATCCACTCTGACACTGCCTAGTGATGAGCTAAAGATGCCTGATTGGTGGTTGTGTCTGTTGGCTGTCACAGAGGCACAGCTCACTCAGTACAGCTCTCACCCCAGGGGTGTGTTCATTATGCAGATTATGTTGCAAAACGTTTAAACCGTTTACTCCAAATGGAAAATATTTTGCAATGAAAACAAGAGTTTCTATTGGACAAATTCATGTAGTTCCCTCCCCGTTTCGTTCTGTTTTCTGCTGTTTGGTTCTTAAATGGTAAATGGTTCCCGTTGCAAGACATAATGAATTACCCCCCAGGTATTCCTGTTTGACTGCTAAACTATAAAACCCCACAGGGCAGATTGGAGCTGTTGGGCCAATCAGAGTAAAGCAGGACAGCCATCACCCCCTGCTCATTAACAACCCATAATGTAGACCCCACACATCATTAGCAGAGGATCATACCTCACTCAGTATGTGAAAACTTTCCATTTCAACTGGGAAAACCCCCAGATCTCTCTACTCTCTAGATCAAGGGTATTCAACTCTTACCCTACGAGGTCCGGAGCCTGCTGGTTCTGTTCTACCTGATCATTAATTGCACCCGCCTGGTGTCCCAGGTCTAAATCAGTAGCTGATTACAGGGGAACAATTAAAACATGCAGTGGAAGTGGCTTTGAGGTCCAGAGTTGAGTTTGAGGGCTCTAGCCTATCACTACCTCACATTTAAAAGTTATTTTGATGATAATCAATCATTATTATTATAGTACATCAAAATAGCATCATGATTGTTCATATTTTTCATATAGTTGTGGATTACTGTATGATGTGAACTTACTCTGAACATTTTCTCCACCTTGGCGATGCTTTTCACGAATATGGTCCCTAGCTGGTCCCCCACACCGGCTAGCAGGAACCCAAACAAAGGGATGCCAAATATTGCATACAGGATACAGAAAATCTTCCCACCCTCTGTGCTGGGGGCAATGTTACCGTACCCTGTGGAAGGAGTAGAGAAGGAGAAGAGGATATTTTTTGGATGTGAAAAGGCTTAAACCTCTATCCTATCAATGGCAGACAACCACAGTGGGTTTGTGCAATACCAAATCCATCTCCTCTTCCCAGTAGACTTTATACACACACTGCTCGCCACAAAGGGCTAATATGGTTAACATGGGCTGTCTGCTAGCTAAGCTTCTGTCCCTTTGTCCACTGCTTGCACAGTGTCAGTTTCCATTTGGAATCACAGAACGGAGTATAGGCCAGTCCAACTCTTCTGGTTTAATCAGAGACATGCCACTGAATTGAAAGTGAAAGGCCTCCTTCCTTCCTCCATCAAACTAAAGACCTTCCACCCTCAATCAAACTGAAGACCTTCCGCCCTCCATCAAACTAAATACATTCTGCCCTCCATCAAACTAAATACCTTCCTTCCTCCATCAAACTAAAGATCTTCCGCCCTCCATCAAACTAAAGAAGTTCCATCCTCCATCAAACTAAAGACCTTCCACCCTCCGTCAAACTAAAGACCTTCCTTCCTCCATCAAACTGAAGACCTTCCGCCCTCCATCAAACTAAATACATTCTGCCCTCCATCAAACTAAAGACCTTCCTTCATCCATCAAACTAAAGACCTTCCGCCCTCCATCAAACTAAATACCTTCCTTCCTCCATCAAACTAAAGACCTTCCACTCTCATCAAACTAAATACCTTCCTTCCTTCATCAAACTGAAGACCTTCCTTCCTCCATCAAACTAAAGATTTTCCTTCCTTCATTACACTAAAGACCTTCCTCTCTCCAAACTAAATACCTTCCTTCCTCCATCAAACTAAAGACCTTCTGCCCTCCATCAAACTGAAGATCTTCCGCCCTCCATCAAACTAAAGACCTTCCGCCCTCAATCAAACTAAATACCTTCCTTCCTCCATAAAACTAAAGACCTTCCACCCTCCATCAAACTAAATACCTTAATTCCTCCATCAAACTAAAGACCTTCCTCCCTCCATCAAACGAAATACCGTCCTTCCTCCATCAAACTAAATACCTTCCACCCTCCATCAAACTAAAGACCTTCCTTCCTCCATCAAACTAAAGACCTTCCTCCCTCCAAACTAAATACCTTCCGCCTTCCATCAAACTAAAGATCTTCCTCCCTCCAAACTAAAGACCTTCCACCATCCATCAAACTAAAGACCTTCCTTCCTCCATCAAACTAAAGATGTTCCTTCCTCCATCAAACTAAATACCTTCCTTCCTCCATCAAACTAAAGACCTTCCTTCCTCCATCAAACTAAATACCTTCCTTCCTTCATCAAACTAAAGACCTTCCTTCCTCCATCAAACTAAAGACCTTCCTTCCTCCATCAAACTAAAGACCTTCCGCCCTCCATCAAACTAAAGACCTTCTGCCCTCCATCAAACCAAATACCTTCCTTCCTCCATCAAACTAAAGACCTTCCTTCCTCCATCAAACTAAAGACCTTCTTCCCTCCAAACGAAATACCTTCCACCCTCCATCAAACTAAAGACCTTCCTTCCTCCATCAAACTAAAGACCTTCCTTCCTCTATCAAACTAAATACCTTCCTTCCTCCATCAAACTGAAGACCTTCCGCCCTCCAAACTAAAGACCTTCCTTCCTCCATCAAACTAAAGACCTTCCGCCCTCCATCAAACTAAAGACCTTCCGCCCTCCATCAAACTAAATATTTTCCTTCCTCCATTAAACTAAAGACCTTCCTCTCTCCAAACTAAATACCTTCCTTCCTCCATCAAACTAAAGACCTTCTGCCCTCCATCAAACTGAAGACCTTCCGCCCTCCATCAAACTAAAGACGTTCCTTCCTCCATCAAACTAAATACCTTCCACCCTCCATCAAACTAAAGACCTTCCTTCCTCCATCAAACTAAAGACCTTCCGCCCTCAATCAAACTAAATACCTTCCTTCCTCCATCAAACTAAAGACCTTCCACCCTCCATCAAACCAAATACCTTCCTTCCTCCATCAAACTAAAGACCTTCCACCCTCCATCAAACTGAAGACCTTCCTTCAACCATCAAACTAAAGACCTTCCTCCCTCCAAATGATATACCTTCCACCCTCCATCAAACTAAGGACCTTCCTTCCTCCATCAAACTAAAGACCTTCCTTCCTCTATCAAACTAAATACCTTCCTTCCTCCATCAAACTGAGACCTTCCGCCCTCAAACTAATATCTTCCTTCCTCCTCAAACTAAAGACCTTCCTTCCTCCATCAAACTAAATATCTTCCTTCCTCCATCAAACTAAAGACCTTCCGCCCTCCATCAAACTAAATACCTTCCTTCCTTCATCAAACTAAAGACCTTCCTTCCTCCATCAAACTAAATACCTTCCTTCCTCCATCAAACTAAAGACCTTCCGCCCTCCATCAAACTAAATACCTTCCTTCCGCCATCAAACTAAATACCTTCCTTCTTCCATCAAACTAAAGACCTTCATTCCTCTATCAAACTAAATACCTTCCTTCCTCCATCAAACTGAAGACCTTCCCGCCCTCCAAACTAAAGACCTTCCTTCCTCCATCAAACTAAAGACCTCCTTCCTCCATCAAACTAAATATCCTTCCTTCCTCCATCAACTAAAGACCTTCCGCCCTCCATCAAACTAAAACCTTCCTTCCTCATCAAACTAAAGACCTTCCTTCCTCCATCAAACTAAATATTCCTCCTCCTCTCCTTTCCCTCCACAACTAAAGACCTTCCTTCCTCCATCAAACTAAAGACCTTCCTCCCTCCATCAAACTAAATACTCTTCCTGATTCCTTCCTCATCAAACTAAAGACCTTCCTTCCCTCCATCAAACTAAAGACCTTCCTTCCTCACTAGCCTCCATCAAACTAAAGACCTTCCGCCTCCATCAAACTAAAGACTTCCGCCCTCCTAAACTAAGACCTTCCTTCCGCCATCAAACTAAATACCTTCCTTCCTTCATCAAACTAAGACCCTTCCTCCCATCAAACTAAAGACCTTCCTTCCTCCATCAAACTAAAGACCTTCCGCCCTCCATCAAACTAAATACCTTCCTTCCTTCATCAAACTAAAGACCTTCCTTCCTCTATCAAACTAAATACCTTCCTTCCTCCATCAAACTGAAGACCTTCCGCCCTCCAAACTAAAGACCTTCCTTCCTCCATCAAACTAAAGACCTTCCTCCATCAAACTAAATATTTTCCTTCCTCCATCAAACTAAAGACCTTCCGCCCTCCATCAAACTAAATACCTTCCTTCCTCCATCAAACTGAAGACCTTCCGCCCTCCAAACTAAAGACCTTCCTTCCTCCATCAAACTAAAGACCTTCCTTCCTCCATCAAACTAAATATTTTCCTTCCTCCATCAAACTAAAGACCTTCCGCCCTCCATCAAACTAAATACCTTCCTTCCTTCATCAAACTAAAGACCTTCCTTCCTCCATCAAACTAAATACCTTCCTTCCTCCATCAAACTAAAGACCTTCCTTCCTCCATCAAACTAAAGACCTTCCGCCCTCCATCAAACTAAATACCTTCCTTCCTTCATCAAACTAAAGACCTTCCTTCCTCCATCAAACTAAAGACCTTCCTTCCTCCATCAAACTAAAGACCTTCCGCCCTCCATCAAACTAAATACCTTCCTTCCGCCATCAAACTAAATACCTTCCTTCCTTCATCAAACTAAAGACCTTCCTTCCTCCATCAAACTAAAGACCTTCCTTCCTCCATCAAACTAAATACCTTCCGACCCTCCATCAAACTAAAGACCTTCCTTCCTCCATCAAACTAAAGACCTTCAATAGTCAACAGTACTAATGGTCTGGAAGGTTCTGTTGAAGACAATGCTATGATTGATGATCTGATTCCACACAAATAACACAGCGGCAGAGCAACACAGAGACCCTAATTACGCTTATTCCATTTCCTGGACAGAAATTCACTTTCAATGCATATTCTCCATTGAGCATAGTTTTTTATTACAGGAGTAGACTCAATCTGGTTCTGGGAAACTGGCCCATAGTGTTTGATGTAAATGGCACTACCTCAGGTAAAATCTCAGAATGTTTCACCAGCCCCTGCACTTGACTTGAACTACACCAACTCTGCCTGGTAACTACTCTAAACGTCCTCCAAATCATTCCTCATCCTCTTGAAAAAGATAACAAACGCAAACAAAGTGGTAGTGAGACATGAAAATGAAACATTGGTTTAGCTGCATCAACTATCCACCGTCGTCATGGAGATAATGGAGACCATTCCTCATTCTGACAGTAGCATTCCTCCCAGGAGTGGATCAGCTCACTTTATTTCATCTGACAGAAGGCTCATACTCACACACCAATCCCAGATTTATCTCATATCAAAACCCCTGAGAGGTAGTTTGCTAGTATTGACCTGATTCACAGCTGAACGTTCTACCAGCTAATAAACGATCCTGTCTTTTCAAATCAGGGACGATGACAATGACAATGCGCTAGCAATCATTCTTGTGAGTATCCCAAATGTAATACAATTGTTTTAGGTGTGCAGAGGTTTTAGTCACACTTTATTTGGATAGTCCGGAATTTGTATCTGTAGATGCTCTACAGATGGTCATACTATCAACAAACTATCTGTTGATAAGAAACTGCTTGCTAAGATTACGGTTAGGGTTAGAATAAGGGTTAAGGTAAGGGTTAAGGTTATGGTTATGGTTAGAGCTACGGTTAGGGTTAGTAGATAGTTAGTTGAAATGTTACTGATAGTCTGTAGATAGTCTGTAGAGCATCTACAGATGGAATATCCAAATAAAGTGTTACCAAGCTTTTAATCTACAGATGGACTATCCAAATAAAGTGTTACCAAGCTTTTAATCTACAGATGGACAATGCAAATAAAGTGTTACCAAGGTTTTACTCTACAGATGGACAATGCAAATAAAGTGTTACCAAGGTTTTACTCTACAGATGGACAATGCAAATAAAGTGTTACCAAGGTTTTAATCAACAGATGATACTTTAGGAAGTTTCTGCATTGTTTTCAACAGAGCACTTCACTTCCTACCCCGTAAGAACACTTGAACGTTAAAAGACCAACATACTATTGGCCACCACTATAACCACCGTATGATCAGAACAATCTATTGCCTTTTCCTGAGAGGGCCATTATTAAACTGGTTGAATGGTCAAGAATAACAGGTAATGCAACTACAGATGTGATAGATCACATAGGCCTCAATGGAAATAAATAGATAGCGGTGACCAATAACATGTGTATGAGACCAATAACATTTGATTTGATTTGATACTATTACCTATGGTTGTGATGACCGTTCCAGCGAAGAAGAAGGCACTGCCCAGGTCCCAGTGACTGGAGTTATAGGATGTGTCTCCTATCGGGCTGACCCCAGCATTCACAGCATCTACTGAGTGCTGGACACACAAACGCAAAGACATTCATCAGATCAAAAGGAATAGACGACATCATATAGATAAAGATGATGGCGTTACGTTCAGAATTGCATTGTTTAGTGGTATAGAGTCTCTTGAGAGTTTCTCTCTTTTAGTTATGCTACAGTTGTTTAGTATATGTTGATTGCTATAACATAACATTATTTGCATGTTGAATAGCTGAATTCTCAGGGGGGCTTCCGCATAAGGATCCGTCAAACCTTCCCATGTGATTTGCTAAAGGAGCCAGTTGCGTAACATATGACTGCTGTGTAGCTTAGCGCTGGCGACGCCTCTGCACTGTGAATCATCAGGACAGTGCCACACTGAGAGAGAGGGCACCGTAGGGTGGGCGGGGCACATGATGCCCACGATGTCTTGAGCAGCCCTCACACTCTGAGCCAGTCTTCCAGTCTACCCGGCAGGAAGCCGGCATGCCAGATGGAGCTTCAGCGTGTCGCACAACAGGAAGTAGCTCAGGGTGTGAGTGATGGTGGGATAGGTGTGTGGAAATGGTTGAAGGCCAAGTAAACAAGAGCAGAGCAGGAGACGCCATGACAGTCTTGAGGACAGAGGTAAAGGACAGAGAGAGAGAGGACAGAGGTAGAGGACAGAGGCAGAGGACAGAAGTAGAGGACAGAGAGAGAGAGGACAGAGAGAGAGAGGACAGAGAGAGAGGACAGAGGCAGAGGACAGAAGTAGAGGACAGAGAGAGAGAGGACAGAGGTAGAGGACACAGAGAGAGAGAGGACAGGGGTAGAGGACAGAGAGAGAGGACAGAGAGAGAGGAAAGAGGTTGAGGACAGAGAGAGAGGACAAAGAGAGAGGACAAAGAGAGATGACAGAGGTAGAGGACAGAGAGACAGGACAGACGTAGAGGACAGAGAGAGAGGACAGAGAGAGAGGACAGAGGTAGAGGACAGAGAGAGAGGACAAAGAGAGAGGACAGAGGTAGAGGACAGAGAGAGGGGACAGAGGTAGAGCCTCTTAGGGACCTGATTGTATCTGATCATCACTGACCATGCTGATAGCTGCTTGTGTTAATGGAGGTGGTTTTTGAAACCGTGCTTGAGTGATGACTAACCTTGCCTGAGACCTGAATACTTGTGTTACTGTAGCTACAGTGGGGTTGAGGTTTGAACTCTGGTTGGTTACACATGCAGTCAGCCCCTCTTTCCAAACTGACAGTCTAATCATAGCTTATGTTTGATGAGCAGTTATCTGCCTCAGGCTTTGTTTGAACCATCATTATATAATAAAACAACTCTGACTAAGATCTTTGGACATGCTAAACTTTGAAGCACAAAATACCTTCCAATTTCCTGTGATAAGACTCTACTATTCATTCAATGCCTCTCCTCTCCAATGTAACGGGTTGTTGCTGTAAATGAGAATGGGTTAACAGTCAACTTATCTGGTAAAATAATGAATACAAAAAAGCCCCATCCAATTTGAAGTGAAGAGGAAATTCAGCAAGTCTTGGAGGATAAAAATGCTTCTTTATTGTTAAAGCCAATGCTTTTCGGGTTGGTTTTAACAATAAATAAGCATTTTTATTAACTTCTACTGTCCTCCAAGAGTTGCTGAATTTCCTGTTCACTTCAGTTTGCTCCTCAATTCATGCACCTTGGTTGGAAAGCAAGGTAGCAGCCGTGATCTAAATGAAACCCCTGCCTGTATCAGAGGACTGGTGAAGAGTTGGCACTGGGCAGAGCAGCAGCATTCCTGGATAATGAAAGGTGATTCAGCCTTTCTATGAATGGGTTTTGCTTCAGGACACCCTGAATGAGTTCCCCCAAAAAATATCAATGTCATCTCCTTTAGAAGCAGCCAACGCCATCAGGGATCTGCACTCTGAAGTACAGATACAGTATAGGATCTTAATCCTGCCCACCAGAAAATGCAAACGTTTGGTTTGAAAAGGCTTCTAAAGTTTGTAATTTCCACTTTAAAATGTCAGAATTGATTTGCCCTAACTAAAAATGTATCAACCCCTACAAAAATGTCCATTAATTGTAATCCACACAATACTTCACATTTCCTGTTGCTGCAGGTGTGATGGGTGAGTCGAAGGAGTCAGGAGCAGGAGGGTAAATCACAGAATAACAGGATTTATTCCGGAAAACAGAGTTACGCAGTAATGCGTCAAAACAGGCGCACTGGAACCAACAAGGCACACTGGGAAAATAACCCGGGGATACAAAATACAAGGAGCTCCACCGAGCTTCACTATCTTCACATTAAACAATCACACACAAAGACAAGGGGGCAGAGGGAACACTTATACAGGTACTGATGAGGGGATATGAACCAAGTGTGTGTAATGAACAAGACAAAACCAATGGAATGATGAGCGTCAGTGGATAGAAGGCCGGTGACGACGAACGCCGAAGCCTGCCCGAACAAGGAGAGGTGGCAGCTTCGGAGGGAGTCGTGACAACAGGATTATTTTCCTGCAGTGAGAAACTGGTCGAATGAAGATCCTGATAAATCTTTCAGGCATGTTTTACTCATAAGATTGTTAAGCCAGAGTGGGTTGTGAGGTCCTACTATAGCCTCTGTTCAACCACATGGTCTGCATTGCTTCTGTAACTTCCTATTCATTAAGATGTATGATCTTAATTTGAGCCAGTTTGCTACAACAGGAATATAATCCTGCAGCAACATGAAATGTGAATTACTATGTGGATTATAATTAATGTAAAAAAAATTGTAGGGGTTTAAACATTTTTTGTTAGGGCAAATAAAGTGTGACATTTTAAAGTGGAAATTACTAACTTTAGAAGCCCTTTTAAAACTTGAAAGTTTGCATTTCCTGCTGAGCTTCCATCCACTTATGCAATCCAGCGAGAGACAAGTACTAGACATGAGTTGGCACAGGGGGACTACATTCTGTAATGGATGGAAGCTCAAAGTCACTCCCTACCCCCATAAACAGTGAGAGAAAAAGTGCTGTAGAGATTCCACAGGAGGAGGTTGTCACTGTCTTTGCCACAGAACTGACACAGAGAACTGAGGAGATATATATCTCCCCCCAGTAGTCTGGCTCAAACCCTGCTCTTTCCGGACCTGCCATCCCCTGCCTGTCCTGTAAGCTATACCTCTGGGCTAAGACACTAGAGAAGCAGCCTGGTAGCATGGCAGGCTGGCAAACGTCCCAGCACTGCTTAGCCCTTTTCTCTGCCACAGAGACATCACCTTTCACGTTGGATTGGAGGAGGGCGTTTACGATGCTGTGTGTATAGACGAAGAGCGGTGGGGTGATACAACCAATACACAAAGACTTGTGGAGCTTTGTTATTCTTAGATATACTGTATGATCTGAATATCCACATGTATGTTTTACCTGATATTGAGCAGTATATCTGCACATTATTATGATGGCAAATGTCATCAAAATAACCAATTTTCTCACCTTAAACAGCGAAGCCAAGGACATAAGAAAGTTGAGGTTTCATTTTTCAAGTATCCAAATTAAATCTGGGTCCCAAATGAATATGATATGTGTTAATGAGCTATAATACAGTCAACAGGGAGTCTGGTTGCAATGACGTCAATATGGCGTCTTTTATGACATTATACCATAAAGGTTATGGTCAAGTTGTATACTGGATGTACACCACAGGAGGCTGGTGGCACCTTAATTGGGGAGGACGGGCTTGTGGTAATGGCTGGAGCGGAATTGGTGGAATGGTATCAAATACATCAAACACATGATTTTCCATGTTTGATGCCGTTCCATTTGCTCCGTTCCAGCCATTATCATGAGCCGTTCTCCCCTCAGCAGCCTCCACTGATGTACACTATAAACATCTGTTTAACAACCAGAAAAACAAATGATTTATCTGGTTGTTATCTGCTTATCTGACTAGATAACAACCAACATTTGACGTCTTTCCCATAAAGTGTTGATCTTGTCATGTAAAATACACCTTTAACTTGTTTTAACAGAGAGCAGTTGTAATTCCGTTATATCTTCTCAATCAGACAACCAGACGTCATGGGACATATTCGGCCTGCTCTCCTTCAGGTTAAAGGCCTTCCTTAACTTTCATAATTGTGTCAGCAGAGGGAATGTGTCAGCAATCGCATTACAACCTTAGAGAACATTTCTCTTCAAGAGAGAGAGGCTGGAGAGGGAGAGGGAGTAGAGGGGGAAGGGGGAGGCTGAATGGGTGAGTCAACGCACACTCACACAGTCGCACTCCACACCGTCGCACTCCACACCTCTGAATCATAGCCCTAGAGTTGGGCAATTAATAAAGGCACCATGGTAGGATCTCAGTGGGATGGAGTGACACCATGGTAGGACCTCATTGGGATGGAATGACACATCATACAAACCAATCCCTCCCCCTGACAGCCCCCAGCCTGCTACAGTGTCTACAGCCTGTACCCTGCCTCATGTTTGACAATGCTGGCTCAGTCGTTGACAACAATACGATCTGGCAATATCCAGAACCCAAACAATGAGTCAGAATAAAAGGCAAGTAATCTGGCCTCCCGAGTGGCGCAGCGGTCTAAGGCACTGCATCACAGTGCTTGAGGCGTCACTACAGACCCGGGTTCGATCCCAGGCTGTGTCACAATTGGCCGTGACCGGGAGTCCCATTGGGCAGAACACAATTGGCCCAGCGTCGTCCGGGTTAGGGGAGGGTTTGGCTGGGGTTCCTTGCGCTCTAGCGACTCCTTGTGGCGGGCCGGGTGCCTGCAGGCTGACATCGGTAGTCAGTTGAACAGTGTTTCCTCTGACACATTGGTGCTTCCGGGTTAAGCGGGCTAATGTTAAAGAGCGCGGTTTGGAGGGTCATGTTTTCGGAGGATGCATGACTCGACTTTTGCCTCTCCCGAGCCCGTTGGGGAGTTGCAGCGATGAGACATGATCGTAATTGAAAAAGGGGGTTGAAAAAGGCTAAGTAACCCAATGGCTTCAGAAAAGATGAGAAAGGTCTAATGATCCTCTAGATTCAGTTTAATGGAAAGACCTAGTCACCAGAGTATTGTGGGTAATGTAGTAAATCAAGCTACACTTATAACATGATGTGGCACTTAGAAGGACTGATGGACAAGATACTGTAATGGGTTCAGTTTAATCCCAAGCAGCAGTAATCACACCAGAGTAGAGGCCCGGAGGAGCAGTTGACATTCTCCCAGCCCACCTCCATCCATCCTGGGTCCTCCAGGACTGTAGCCCACCTCCATCCATCCTGGGTCCTCCAGGACTGTAGCCCACCTCCATCCATCCTGGGTCCTCCAGGACTGTAGCCCACCTCCATCTATCCTGGGTCCTCCGGGACTGTAGCCCACCTCCATCTATCCTGGGTCCTCCAGGACTGTAGCCCACCTCCATCTATCCTGGGTCCTCCAGGACTGAAGCCCACCTCCATCCATCCTTGGTCCTCCAGGACTATAGCCGCTAATGAATAATTAATTCCCCAGCAGATGCTTTTAAGACTTACGGTATAATTTAGCCTCCCTGGGCTGAAAATGTAGGCGATTATCTCTGCATATATTAGAGGGGACACTGTTGCTTTTACCAACGACGAACATGCCTGAAGACCCTTTTTAAATGTTAAGCACTCCGAAGATGATGGTTCAATGAGAAATCTCATTTTAGCTTTTAGATGACAAAATACCTTGCATGCTGCCTTTGTGAGTCACAAAGATCCACTCAGGAAACAAAAGTACATATAGCACTCCTATGCCAGCTAATGTCCGTGTAGAAATTGAAAAATATATATATTATTAGGGGACAAAGCATTTTGGGTTGCAGATGCTCTGAATGCAGATGCTCCATATGCACTGAAATATGTCAACGATTTAGTGCTGAGTTGCTTATTTAGACTTCTCTGCAGTAAAATATCCATTCTGCATTCCAAGCATTCCAGGCCTCCAGCATGCTCCTACGAAGGCAGTGAGGCATGGCAGCTGCATTGGCATCCCTCCATCCCCTAGCACCGTTTTCCAGAGAGGAATTAATACGAAACGTGACAGCCCTCTGCTTTAGCCCGTTTCCCTACTGCCTCTGAGTTCTGCTGTAACTAAGATAAACGACCACCTCTTGTTTCACAGTTAAAACAGTTAAAACAAAAACAATTACGAACGCGCTCACTTCCGATCATTGCCCAAACCCCGAGATCCTTGAGTAATACCGAGCTAAGTGTTTCCAATTCATTCATGATTACAGTTCACACGGGCACCTCTGTGTATTGTTGGTGAGGCGGCCAGGAGAAACTCAGTTTGGCTACCTGCACTGCCATTTGTCTCCCTACACCAGTGGGACTGTGGCCTGCATTGTCCTGCATTATCCAGGGATTCACAGCTGGGGGGTCACTATCTGGCTGATCTGTTTTACGAGGAGCTAGAAGCGTTCGGCCCTGAAAACCCTGCTGGCGCTTGCAGAAGTGACAATGCTGCAGTACAAGTCACATAAAGCTCTGTTTATTAGGCTTCTCGCCAGTTTCACTTCTTCCCGGTTTTCATTTTCCAGGAGGTGAAACATTAGATTGTAGAAGCTATTGTTTTCTGGAAGCTGTCTTGAACTGGGTCTGAGACGTTTGTCTCAATATCCTGTGGTCCTTTGTAGCTCAGTTGGTAGAGCATGGTTCTTGTAATGCCAGAATAGCGTGTTTGATTCCCGGGACTACCCATACGTAAAATGTATGCACGCATGACTGTAAGTCACTTTGGATAAAAGTGTCTGCTAAATGGCTGATGTTATTAAGGAATACCTGGGATAGGATAAAGTAATCCTTCTCCCCCCCCCCCTTACACCACCACAAAAAAAAAAAAAAAAAAAACATATTGTAAAGTGGTTATCCCACTGGCTATAAGGTGAATGCACAAATTTGTAAGTCGCTCTGGATAAGAGCGTCTGCTAAATGACGTAAATGTAATGTAAATGATATGATTCTATCGACTAAATGGGAGTAGGACATGAAGAATAGGCAGGCATATCGTTCCAAGTCAAATGGATCAAGGTGAACCTAATTGAGGAAATCTATAGAATTACTTAATGTAAAAAGCATACAATTGCATGATAGGGGTATCTGCTAACTTTCCTATAAGCTATAGACAGACATGATGAAAAAGGGAAATCAGTATTGCTGCTGACAGTTACATAATGTATTCCTGATTGTATGGACGTCTATCATAGCTATCCTATGATACAGATTAAATATTGCCATGTATCTGTGACGGACCGGGGTTCGACCCTGAGTCTCCAGGGCGCCACAAGACTGTGTTAGCCTGCTAAGCTAAAGCCTAGGCATTAGCTTGGGGCGCTAACACAAATCTTTAAGATTCAGACTCAAGATTCTTATCAATCATGCATGGTTCACTGAACCCCCTCCATTACACATCCACCTAGGTGTAAGAATTGGCATTTTGTCATTCTGATCACTATTCTCCACCTCTCCTCAGTCATGTCTCTGAGCTGTTGTTATGCCAACCACGTTCCCTGTGAGGCACTAGCAATAACGAGTGTCATTAGGCATCACAGTGAGGAGAGTATGGCGGTGGCAGCCAAGGTCTGAATGACGTCACATGCTGGCACGCAGGCTTCTGGGCATACTGGCCAAAATAGCACACACACGTATGGCATTTATCAATCACAATACAGAGTCACGCTCACAGTATCAGTGGTCGCTTTGAATTCAGTCTGACACACATGTAGACTCTATAATGATGTTATTACACTAGCCTGTTTAGTGTGGTTCCTATCCTATTCCAGGATGGCTGGCGGTGTTTAGTGTATAGTGTTTGTGTGGGGCTTGGCTAGCGTTGGATCGATACAGAGTTCAAGTTTCAGGAGACCTGAGTCCCCACTAGGGACCCCAGACAGAACTGGAGACAGGAGAGCTCCAGTATCGACTGCAGATTGGCCTAGTGGCTGCTGCTGTCTTTCCTTACCTTGATGAGCGCCTCCAGCTCTGCCGGTGAGACACAGGGGTGTTTCTGCAGGAATGCCGCCTTCTCCGCAGTGATGGTCACCTTCTGGTTGCTCTCGAATGGTTGCTCCAGGGCCCGGAACACCAAACCTCCCCCGACCAGATAGGCCACCACGACCACGAACACCGCCACTACTGTCTTCCACTTCATGACGGTGAAAAGCGGCGAGCCGTCCTCACCCACCGCCTCCATGCTGGCCACCATGCTGGCGGGCCGTGACGGAGAGAGCCGGGGAACGGTGCAGCCCATGGGGTTCTGCATGGTGGCCACACTGGCCTGCACCAGGCTGGCACTCATCATGCCTGACTGGACCTTCTTTTGGGGGAACAGGTTGGTCTGGGGCGCCACTGCAGAGAATAAAATAATGAAACGTTATTGTTAGGAGCTGCATTATGGGTAAAGTTAATTTGTAGTCACACACTGCACAATCCAAAAATCTATGAAAGGAAGGGGTGGAATACCCTACTGTATGTACGTCAGGAATAGGTTAATAACCTTGTAAGAATACCTTGGGCTTCATTTTCTGGGCAGTTTGACCTTAAAGATGTATTTCCGTCTATCAGTCCCAGGAGTATGACAATGAAACAGTAATGGAGTATGTCTTGATGCTTGAGGTTCTGAGCAGCACAGGCTGGCAGAAAGAGAGAGAGAGAGAGAGAGAGAGAGAGAGAGAGAGAGAGAGAGAGAGAGAGAGAGAGAGAGAGAGAGAGAGAGAGAGAGAGAGAGAGAGAGAGAGAGAGAGAGAGAGAGAGAAAGGGAGAGCGAGTGATAGAGAGCGAGTGATAGAGAGCGAGAGGGTGAATCTCAAAGTGTTCTGTGGGCTTTCAGAAAATCCATTCCGGTTAAGAGCAGGCATCTCAGAGCGCTATAGAGTGTTCCATCAGCACACTCCATCAGCCAGTGGATTCACAGGATCTGAAATGGTATGGCTCGTAGCCCCAAGCAGGCTGAGAATGCTATGTTATTATGGATTAAAAAGTGAGCCTTATATATGAAAAGATGATGGGTTGATAGATGATGTCCTAATACTGTACTGTCTGAATTATATTAGAAAGAAAAACCGGGAGTAGATTTTCTGTTTGTGATATGGATTTGTAGTTATAAACATTCACAATTCATAGCCGAAGCATCCAAAGATTTCTTCCATCTGCATTGCTTCTTTTTCATTAACCTCACAGTCATTCCTTCAAGATGCTCATTATTAGCATTACATTATGTAAGATTATGCTTGAGAGTCATCACCATTCTGGTACATCTAATGTGTACACAACATACAAAGAAGCCTAGGTTTTGATGATGAAAGCCAATGGAATTAGTGCTGGTGATTTATGTAACCATTTAATAACCTCACTGTAAGGAAAAACATTCATTACACTGGTCTTGCAGGTGCAATGAATTCTGATAAGCAGCGCTAAACACTGCCTGCCTCAAAACTGAGAATAATTGTATGTGCAACACTTGGCTGCATGTAGCCCATAAAACATGGCTGACATTTCTCCCAGAAGGTCATCCCGATGATAACAGACAGACCCTTAAATCACGTGCTGCACTGGGTAAACGTGACCGTGCGCGAGAAGAGGGCAGCCGCGTGGTGACCGTGCGCGAGAAGAGGGCAGCCGCATGGTGACCGTGCGCGAGAAGAGGGCAGCCGCATGGTGACCGTGCGCGAGAAGAGGGCAGCCGCGTGGACGTGAGGTAGTGTTTTTACTCCATCTCTCAATGCATCACTATACTGCAGCAGTTGTAACACACCAAGTGCTCCTTTCTGGCATTATATTACCGACTGACAGTTCACATTAGCCATTTAGCCTTCACCTCAACTGACATGTTTTAGACTAGAGTGCGGCCATTGTCAATTCCCCTCAAACAGAACATAAATGAGGGCATAGACACGGTGAGTGACTAAATTATGTTCACATATATTTATACTTAAAAGGCCAATAGGAAACATGCTTCTCTCTTCCAACTGGGCACAAACTGTTTGAATCAATGTTGTTTCAATGTAATTTGTCAACATATTGTAATGTGGAATATATGTGGAAAATACATTGGATTTGTAAAAAGTCATCAAACTGTTGTTTTGAGGGTGAAATTTCAACCATAGAATTATGTCATCATGGTAACCAATTTTCAACATAGCCAAACCTTGTATAAAACATGTTGAATGTGTACCTTTGAAACAACGTCAGATCTTCAACGTTATATCCACTATCAGAAAACAAACAGTAGGCTGGGCAGCACCTCCTGCTGGAGAGTTGATCTACCTACAGCATTTGGTCTCCCATCTAGGGTTTTAACCAAGCCCAGCAATCTTTAGCTTTGATATTAGTCACTGACTACTACCAATGTGCTATCGTGAGAATGATTGATGAGAGAGCTCTTCTTAACTAAATAGATTCACTGACGCTATCGAAGTCATTCCAAAGGGTAGGTTTAACAGAGCAGATTAAATGAACCATACTCTATAAGTCATATATAATCAATGATACTATTTAGACCTATTTAGCAATTGCGAAGTTATCAACAGCTATTGCTTCAATAGACAATAAATATAGGCCTAGGGTTTCAAGCTTTGGTTGAAGTTAATAATGAATATGTTGGATTCACATCTCCATTTCAACATCTCCAAATCAAATCAAACTTTATTTAAAGTGCATTTAAAGTTTGATTTGATTTAGTCCTATTATTAACTTAGATTTTTGGTTGAGATGGAGACATATCAATTATTAATTTGTAGACAAACAGGAATTAAAGTCAAAGTCAGTAGTACAAAATGTACATCTCCTTCAAATGTTGACATTTGGTTGCGTTGACTACCAAACACAATTCAATATCACTTTTGCAATACAGTACATACATAGCCTATTAACTTGTGGACAAGTTAACAAATCATATGTTGGATTCATGTATCCAACTAAACAAAAGATTAAGTTAAAGAATAGGATTAAGCCAGTGGCTCAGATTAAACTATCCAAGCATTAGTCATCTCTTTTAAATGTTGATATTTGGTTCCGTTGTCAACCTACCACAATTCGATATGACTTTCGTAATACAGTAAATAGCCTGAAGATAAGGCTTTCTTACAAACTAATGTAACCGTTTTTATTCAACCTTAAAATGAGTAACTCATCCATTGCCACATTTTGAGGTTAGTGTAACTTGGCTAGCTAACAGTAGCTGCTAGGGGTAAGTCATAACCTACATCTGTGTTTTGTTTTTTACATATTGATAGCCCGAGTCGTTCAGGGAATTCGGGACATGGGTGACTAGTTAACGTTAGTTTGGCTCTCTGTGTGTGTTCGTGCCGTTCGTGCTGCGCCTAGTTAGCTAGCTGAGTTAGTCTATTCCTAGAAAACATTGAACCGCTGTAGTTTACAACAATTATAGTTTCTGAGGTGGAAGTTGGGAGAGTTATATTTGGGAGTTGTGGTGAGGGAGGCCCCCCTCTCTCCTTTCCCAGATGTTTAGTTCATTTCATTCCGATCTCCTCTGCATTATTGTAGCCATTTGCTGCAGCCTGTCAACTATGCCTCTGCCTATCCCTGTTCTCTCCTCTCCGCACAGGCTACACAAATGCCTCACACCGCGTGGCTGCTGCCTCTCTAACCTGGTGGTCCCTGCACGCACCACTCACCTGGAGTTCCAGGTCTCAGGCAGCCTCTGGAACTGCCGTTCTGCTGCCAACAAGGCAGACTTCATCCCAGCCTATGCTACCCTCCAATCCCTCGACTTCTTGGCGCTGACGGAAACATGGATTACCACTGAAAACACTGCTACTCCTACTGCTCTCTCCTCGTCTGACCATGTGTTCTCGCATACCCCGAGAGCATCTGGTCAGCGGGGTGGTGGCACAGGAATCCTCATATCTCCCAAGTGGACATTCTCAATTTTTCCCCTAACCCATCTGTCTATCTCCTCATTTGAATTCCATGCTGTCACAGTCACTAGCCCATTTAAGCTTAATATCCTTGTCATCTATCGCCCTCCAGGTTCCCTTGGAGAGTTCATCAATGAGCTTGACGCCTTGATAAGCTCCTTTCCTGAGGATGGCTCACCCCTCACAGTTCTGGGGGATTTCAACCTCCCTACGTCTACATTTGACTCATTTCTCTCTGCCTCCTTCTTTCCACTCCTCTCCTCTTTTGACCTCACCCTCTCACCGTCCCCCCCTACTCACAAGGCAGGCAATACGCTTGACCTCATCTTTACTAGATGCTGTTCTTCTACTAATCTCACTGCAACTCCCCTCCATGTCTCCGACCACTACTTTGTATCCTTGTCTCTCTCGCTCTCCTCCAACACTACTCACTCTGCCCCTACACAGATGGTAATGCGCCGTCGCAACCTTCGCTCTCTCTCTCCCGCTACTCTCTCCTCTTCCATCCTATCATCTCTTCCCTCTGCTCAATCCTTCTCCCTCCAATCTCCTGATTCTGCCTCCTCAACCCTTCTCTCCTCCCTTTCTGCATCCTTTGACTCTCTATGTCCCCTATCCTCCCGGCCGGCTCGGTCCTCCCCTCCAGCTCCGTGACTTGATGACTCATTGCGAGCTCACAGAACAGAGCTCCGGGCAGCTGAGCGGAAATGGTAGAAAACTAGACTCCCTGCGGACCTGGCATCTTTTCACTCCCTCCTCTCTACATTTTCTTCATCTGTTTCTGCTGCTAAGGCCACTTTCTACCACTCTAAATTCCAAGCATCTGCCTCTAACCCTAGGAAGCTCTTTGCCACATTCTCCTCCCTGCTGAATCCTCCCCCCCCCCCCCCCCCCCCCCCCACCTCCCTCTCTGTGGATGACTTCGTCAACCACTTTGAAAAAAAGGTTGACGACATCCGATCCTCGTTTGTTAAGCCAAATGACACTGCTGGTCCTGCTCACACTGCCCTACCCTATGCTTTGACTTCTTTCTCCCCTCTCTCTCCAGATAAAATCATGCGACTTGTGACGGCAGGCCGCCCAACAACCTGCCCGCTTGACCCTATCCCCTCCTCTCTTCTCCAGACCATCTCTGGTGACCTTCTCCCCTACCTCACCTCACTGATCAACTCATCCTTGACCGCTGGCTATGTCCCTTCCGTCTTCAAGAGAGCGAGAGTTGCACCCCTTCTCGAAAAACCAACACTCGATCCCTCTGATGTCAACAACTACAGACCAGTATCCCTTCTTTCTTTTCTCTCCAAAACTATTGAGCGTGCCGTCTCTAGCCAACTCTCTTGCTATCTCTCTCAGAATGACCTTCTTGATCCAAACCAGTCAGGTTTCAAGACTGGTCATTCAACTGAGACTGCTCTTCTCTGTGTCACGGAGGCTCTCCGCACTGCTAAAGCTAACTCTCTCTCCTCTGCAATTATCCTTCTAGACCTGTCTGCTGCCTTTGATACTGTGAACCATCAGATCCTCCTCTCCACCCTCTCCGAGCTGGGCATCTCCGGCGCGGCTCACTCTTGGATTGCGTCCTACCTGACCGGTCGCTCCTACCAAGTGGCGTGGCGAGAAGCTGTCTCCGCACCACGTGCTCT